GCCCCCTTCGTTTCGAAGATTCCAAGGAGCTTCGGACCCTTCAGTGCGAAGGGGCTTCGAAGCCCCCCTTCGACCCTTCACCTTCGAAGGCTTCGAAGCCTTCGAAGGCGAAGATGAAGCCCCCTTCGTCTACCGAAGCCCCCCCTTTATAAAGGTGTCCGGATGCTGCCTGGGCAAGCAAGGTGGCAAAAAAAGAAGTTGCAAATGTTATTGACAAAGTTTGCGGAAAAATGACTACAATGGATTTTTGAAAGTTTGCAAGTTTCCAGCATTTCCTGTTAAAGTTAAAGGGAAAGATTCACAAACCACAGTTTGCACAAACAGCATCCTGACATTTTGCAATTTAAACCTCTCGTTCACCCTTCAAAACTTTCAAAGTTCTTTCTTATGGCTTTGCCCTTCGAAGGCTCTAAAGTCTTTGCTGAAAGATCGGACGTAGCACAAAATCTCTGAAAAGACTTTTCCACATCTCAGCTTCCACGTTTCCGACTTTTCATCTGCAAACGCTTGTCGTTGACGTCCTTCGCATAGACAGAGCGGACTCTTCCTTCTCCCACCTAAAAACATGCAAGACATGTCGCATGCAAATTCGCAACCGAAGCAACCCAGACGACAGATTTTGATGGACATTCCTGCAGCATCAGCACCGCCTTGTCGAGCGGCAAAGGAAACTTTCTTAAAAAAACCTCATAATTGTGTAAAAATGACATTGCTGTTGCAACTGCAAAATTTTTCGTGAAACAAGTCTGTTGTTAACACTATAAGTTCTTGAGAACTTATCTAAAGATGTTTGCATGACCAAACTTAAGTGCAGGTGAACAATCAAATCTGTTGAGGTCAGAGTTTTGTGAACTTTCTAGTGTTTGGGTCAGAGTCCAAACCTCTCAAAGTGCGGCCAACCTGGAACTCTGCTGCAATCTCCAGGAAACTTCTGCAATAGATGCACAACAAACTAGCTAGCTGACCTCCCTTTGAAATTTTACTGTGTCCTGGCCCAAGCACCATCCGATTCTTTCAATGAAGGTGTTGATGCAAGAGGTCGTTCTAAGAACCTTTACCAAGGTAAGAATCCAAATCGCTTCTTCAAGTTGTGCTCTCACTGTACTGGTACTGGTTGTAGCAGCAGCAGCAGCAGCAGCAGCAGGAGCAGTTGTAGAGCAGCAGCAGCAGGAGTAGTAGCAGTAGTAGTGGTAGTTGTAGTAGTAGTACTTGCAGTAGTAGTAGTAGTAGTAGTAGTAGCAGTAGTAGTAGTAGTAGTAGTAGTAGTTGTGGTTGTAGTAGTAGTAGTAGTAGTAGTAGTAATAGTAGTAGTAGGAGTAGGAGTAGGAGTAGGAGTAGAAGTAGCAGTAGTAGTAGTAGTAGTAGCAGTAGTAGTAGGAGTAGTAGTAGTAGTAGTAGTAGTAGTAGCAGCACTACTACGACTACCACTACTTCGGCACAACAACTATGCACTGATTCGAACATGTTTTCCGGTAGCCCAACTTCATGCGTTGTGCGACTGTGTGGTGATTTCGTTCGGCTCGCGGTCAGAGCGTGCAGCATACGTTGAAATCGGCTGTTGCAAGATGCTCCGCAGTTCAGCCATCCGTTGTAGACCAATGTGTCTGATGTCCACCTCAATTCCAAAGCCTTGCAGGGCTCGCAAGCGTGGCACCTTGGGCCGAGAATAAATTTCACTCGACGTAGATTTCGGGTGAACTGGACGGTTTCCACAGCTGCTCATGGAGACGCTTCGCAGCTTCTTTGGCGGAGAGCTTACAAAGTCCTGGGGGTCATGCGGCCTTTCGGATGCAACCAGACCTGAGCCTGCCTGGAATTTGTTCATGAAAGGCTTGGGGTTGATGACTGTTTCAGTTGGATGCCGAGCAGCCACAGAGATCGAGTGTGGCGGACACATTCTCAAAGAGACCCGCCATTGTGCTCGCTCGATGGTCTACTTGGCCCGGTCCCCGGTGTTGAAAGTGGGCCTGGCTGCGCTGAAATGATTGCATCTTGAATTTTGCAGCTGTCGCAGCTAATTCGGAGCTCTGGGGCATGTACCAAGGTTGAATGTAGAATGAGCCAGAAGTGAACCCTCCCCGGAGCGGACGTTGCCAGAACCTTGCGTCGTGAGGGGCCATAGCAATCAACCCCCGATTCACGCATGTCACAGGGCAGAGTTGTTGGGACACTTTTGGGCCCAGTTCTTTAGCCGCGAACTCCTCACTCACGCATTTCATTCATGCACATGCATCCAGTCCAGCATCGCCAACAACAAGCCGGTCAATCTGCGACCCAAGCAGCTACACAGGCAGAATCGAGACTGTGTGGTAGTAGTTCCTGGTATGCGTGAGTGGTACGGCTTGAACCAGGCGGCTTGAGAAGGCATTGTTGGCTGGGTCATTTAGACTCAAAGGTTGTTGGAGGGCACAGAAGATGAGAGCGGCTTCTGCACAGCGTCCCGGTTCAATGCCTTGGAGAGGCCGAGCATTCAGCTCGACTTGCCCATCGTTTGGCCACATTCTCGTGCCGGCACGCCAACAGCGTCGTGGTCTTAAAGCTCTATTCTTCATAAGCAGGGACCGCCAACACATTCCCGACTGGATCCAAAGTTTGCCTGCGCTGCTTGCCAGCGCAGATCCACCCGCTCATCGCCCTGCTCGAGTATCAGCCTTTCGCCCAAGGCCTTGTTCGTGCCGTGGTTGGGAGCCCATCGAAAATTAAAAGCTGGCATGCACGCTTCCTCAATGCAGGCGACGCCTGAAAATCTCGAGGGGCTGAGGCAGAAGGCGGCGGTTCTGCGTGGGCTCTGGTTGCTGGATGGCTGTGTTACGCATCTCCTGACTGAGGTCCTGCGGGCAAGCTTCTTCCTGGCGGACAAGGCAGCTGCAGCTTTGAGAAAGATTGCGAAAGCAGCTGCACGTGTCCATGAGTGTTCGGAGGGTGGTAGGTTCTTAGACCTGGGCTGCTTCCCGGCCGACTTTGGATTGATCCGTGAGATACCCTTTAGGGAGCAAGGCATAAAAAGTCGTATGTCGAGCTTTCAAAAGATATGTGGATGTTCATGAAGCCTTTCAAGATGCTCCATCCAAAGTACGCTGCACATTAATGCTGGAAGTGCAGCACCCGAACTGAAGCTTCGTCCTGCCTGCAGGACCGCGACAATCAGTTGAGCAAAGCAGCAGTTTGGCAGCAGTTGGCTGTCACCAAGGCCTTTGGCTTCCGACCCGGCCTCTGAGCTCTAGAGCTCAGCACCTGAGCCACTACCTGTAGCATCCGGCTCCAGTTCGCGAGTTGAAGCTATTCAGGAGTTCTCTTTGATGGTCCGCCGGGCATACCCTCACTTAAATCCAGTCGCCATCGAGAGGGTAGGGGCCCAAGCACGCGGAAGCTGTTGCCCTGGCAATCCTCTGACTTGATCCTCGTCCAACGAGTGAGCGGCTGCCGCAGCTTCCTACAGTTCCCGTCCATCAGAGAGCTTGATTCAGAGGCTTTTCTCGTCGCCAGACTTGGAGCTGGGACTTCCGTCAGCTTCAACGCATTTGTGCGGGCCCTGGCTACTTTGCAAATTGCAGGCAACTGCTCTCAGTAGGGTTGCATATTTACAGTTCAGCTTCCTTCATCTTCTGCGGCCTTGTGTGAGCAGTGCTGGTACTCTGACGAAGTTGAAGCATGACCCTACAATCGTGTCTTCTCAGTGCACAAGGTAGAGTGGGCCCGAAAGGATCACAAAGAGGAGGCGCGGACCCGCTTGTCAGGTTGGCTTCAAAATATATTTCTACAAGGCTATGTGGCTATCTGGGTAGGCGCACGAGATCGTCAATCAGGTCCTTCCACAGGGCATGCCGTGTATTTGACTAAATACTTTTTTCCATTGCAAGCCGTCGTCGGGCAATGTACCGCATGTCTACAACAGACATCAGCGAACAACTCAGCTTGTTTTTGTTGGATCGGCTTTCGTGACCCGTCGCCTCATCCCCCAGTCTGAGTTATGCGTGATCTCTCCCTGCATCCAGGTGGACGAGGACACGGAGGACTCTGAACCCTTGTGACGTCCCCACTTGTATTCAGGACATTAGGAGAGTTGGAGTGGCGATTCGGAAACTTCCAGATGGAGACCTCGCTTCAGAAGAGCAGCTGCTTGAAGATTGAGATCCCCAAGTGTCGGTTGCTCCGCGCTGCGACATGGATGGTCATGGGCATGGGTGTGATAGCGGCCATTGCGCTCGAGGTGGGCAGTGTTCCGGCTGTGGGATCTTGACGAGGACCGCTTCAGAGACGCTGAGGGCGACAGAGGCAGAGTTTCGCTGTAAGGATGAGGCAATTAGCCCTACAGAGTTGGAGTACGGCATCAAGAAGGCACGGCTCAACGACAGCATTCTGAGAAAGCAGGTTTTGATGCCTTGTGGCGCATTCGGGATGATGTGCTACTGGTGTGCGCGTTGCTGTGTAGGCCTTCCCGAAAACCGGCAAGGAGGACCTGGATGTGCGACTAGTGTGTCAGGTGGCAGTTGAGCTCGGAAGTTGGCAGTATTCGGTAGACTCGGAGGTTGAGGCTGAGGGCTACGAACTCCGGGCAAGTCAGTGCCCCACTGACCCGATGTGTTCGAGAACATGACATAGCAGGTCATACCGGCAGGTTTCACTAATCTTGCATGCTCGTGGCAAGACAATTGTTGAGCCTACCACTGCGAATTCGGCACCTGATCGACGGGTTGCTGCGAGGAGCTACTGCGACTGTTGAGTGCCATGACGGGTGAAACTCGGCCAGCGATTCGACTGTGGATTCTTCGAGTCTGGTTGTCTCGAGATGCAAGCTGTACCACAATCAGACTCGTAGTGTTTCAGTCTCTCGACGCAGAGAAGAGGACGGGACGTTTGTCAGACGCATTCTCCTCCAAAGCGTTCAACAAGCATCGAATCAATGCAGTCAATGAATATGTATCTGTGTCCCGGAAATTCTGCATGCTAAGGATAAAGAAAGCATCGGTGGACTCCTGAGTTTGTGTTGTGGGGTTAGACCAGGAACTATGTCAAAATGTTCGGCAGCTTAAGGTCTGTCAGCACCTTTGCCCACTGTCCGAAGCGGTAACGCTCCATCAAGTGGGCGCGACCGCAGAGAGACGGTGCAAGGCCAAGGCAAGAGCCCGCTCCCGAGAGATTGCACGTGCTGTCCGAGTAGAGCCTATAACTCTGGCACCCAGGCGGAGTGACTTACCTCGACTTTGTGAACTTCGTCTTTCCACCGACGCAGGTATGGCAGCCTTGCAGCTCGCATGTTGTGCACCCGCTTTGTGCACAGGCCGACCCGGCGGCCCAAGTCAGCGCTCGCCGGAACCTCCGGCAGTCCATGTACCACTGCTGACTGCTATCTACTGCTTTGTGAGCTTTTTCAGTTCCTGCGCTGGTCAGCGGTGCCAAGGAGTCATGGGTGGCTGATGGGGAGTGTTCCCGACATTGCCTCCATTGCTGACGGTATATCTCCACTTCTTAAGTTTAAGAGGAGAGGAGGCGAGGACAGTTTTCATATCCTCGCTTTGGCTCTTTGGCCAGCGAGAGACTTTAGGATGCTTCGTGCCTGTCGAAGGCAGGACCTGAAGCTAGTCAGATCTAGTCAGCTAGTTGCAAGTTTTTGGATCGTCTCGTCCGCTGCCATACTGTGGTGCTTATCAACCCACCTACTACATCTAGGCAGCTAGTGATGTGGACACCAAAGCAAGTGGGTAGTCCGACATGTGCGTTGGGTGCACATGTCGTGCAGATATCCCATGCACCGAGTGCCGACAGCATGGAAGTAGAGCGAGCCGTGTTGGAACTCCGCCTCACAAGACCAAGGCTCCATGAAGGCTGTTCCGTCCGCATGGCCTTGCCCCATAAAGTCAGGGGCAAGACTGGGCGCGGAAGCCCGGCCAAGTTTTGTCCCATGTTTTCCGGAGATCCCCGGTGTCGGACTCGTCGAGGGCATAAGTAAGATCTGTTCGATTATCCCATCTAGATTCTGGTGCCAAGAACCTTCGAGCGCAGTTGGCAAGCACCTGAAGTCGACTTCTGGACCGTGCAGGACACGACTTGACTCCTCTCAGCCAAACTTTCACTGTCGTGTAGCCCACAGCATGACATCCCTGGATGTCCGCACCAAACAGGTTCGGGACTGCAAAGGGCCGAACAAGAGACATGTTTGAAGTCCATTAGAAGGTCCTTCCAACTCTTTGTCGGGCTCCTTCTGGAAGGGGTGGGGCTCGCGTGCAGTAGGCTTCTCTTGTTCGCCAGATCCAAGCACTCGGTTCCGGGAGGGCTTTGGGTCGTGAGGTTCATTCACACCTTCCATCGTCAGCATGTCAATGTGGTCATGCACTGGAATGGTATGGGATTATGAAGCTTCCGATGCTCAGACAAGAGTATGGCCCAGTTGGGCAGTCACTGGACCTAAGTTTGGTCAGGCCCCAAAGAAGCTCTGCAACCAGAGGTCAAATTACCGAAAGTATCCTAACATCTTGTGCAGTGGCCTGGGCTGGCCATTCTGTGTCCAGCTGCAAGGACATATGAGGCTGTCAAGTTGCCAAGCCTGCTCGCCTTGCCTGCAAGTTGGGTTGTAAGATTGTGCAGGCCAGAAGTACACAAGGTGGGACATAAGGAACGAGACTACCCAACAATCACAGAGTTTAGTCCGGCTAGCCACGTGACATGATTGATGTCCACTCATGTGGGGAAGATGGGGAGCTTGATGACAGCAGCTTTCATCTCCAGCGGCCGTTCGCAGCATGTTTTCCCGCTGAACCACTGGCATATACAGAGAAAAAAGAGCAGCTCGAGACTGCACAGGTATCCGTTTCTTCCTTCGATGCTCCATCGGTTTTGTGCTCAGGCGGCGGAGGCTCCAGCGGCCTGGAGGCACCGGTCACTTCGCCTCTGCCCTCGTGCAGTGCCATGTGGGGTCTTGCCGGCTGGAGGCCTTTGGCGAATCGATCCGAGTCTTCCTGGCTTGTTTTGCAAAGCATCACCCCAGACTCTGGCGATCTCTCACGCCTCGCCAGGACCAGGCATCACAGCTCCTTGGCACCTCCAATGACTGCCCCGCTCAGAGGTGCGCAAAGGGAAGGCTAGAAAACTGTAGATCCGAACCCGACGCCAGAAAATCTCTCGGCCAAGGCGTGGACGAGTCACTGGGGATCACAAGCAGCTCGTCATTGCTTCTTTGGCTCCCTGCTGTCAGCAGTTCTCTGAGGATTCTTTGCACGAGGCCGCTTAAAAGCCTTCACGCAGCTGCATTGCCCAAGTTAGCTCAGGCAACCTTTGCCCATTGAGACAAACCCAAATAAGACGCAGCCATTCAGTGCCGCCGAAGCAAAGCTGGACCACTGCCACGAAATCTGTGACATAATCAGCCAGACGACCACACATAGCAGTGCAAAGCTTGAGACTGGAAACGGGTCCATTTTCGCCATATTTGCCAGTACGGGCAGAACAACTGCTATGGACGAGTGCCGGGGCGGAGATGGGACTGCCATTTCACAAGTACTAAGCAAGATGTCATAGAGCTCACATCTCCTGAATCTTGTGTTTGCACTCACGTCTAGGGTTATCTGAATGGTGAAGGGCTGCATCAAGTCGCAAGCCATGCATGACGTGACTCTCGACTCGACAGCCCCGCCCACGTCACGAGGAACGGATCTGTCGAGAAACTCCAGGAGATCGTGCGGGCCGTGAAGGCCTGCACGGCCCTTGAGCCGTGTCTGTGGAAGCTTCAATTGGACCGGAGCAAAGCCTTTCGGACATCGGAATCAGGGCTGACATCAGTGCTCCCATGATTCTTGAAATGTGTCTTTGGCCAATCGTCATGCACTTGCTGTGAGGCCTTGTGAAAATTCCGTGTCTTTCGGACCTTAGTTCATGAAGCCGTCTTAACCTTCACGTGTTTGGATTCCTAAATGAGCAGCGCTTGTAGAGGTATATCTGGAGAATTTAGAGTGCTTGCCGGTTTAGGATCCTTGTCAAACGTACTCTCCGCAAACGTCTTGAGCTTAAGCGAGTAAAAGTGCCTAGCCGTTTTGCACTGTTGACTCCGCAAGCTGGCATCCGTCTCAAAAGCCTGTATGATGTGTAGCAGTCTGGCTGCACTTGTTGTTGACGAGCTGTAGAGAACAACACCACATGGCTGGGCTCGGTTTCGCATTTCTGCGTTTGATCGCTTGAATAGAACGACGACAATGCCAGCAAGAGCGATAGAGAGTGGGACAAGAGTTGTGGGCGGATTTTGTTTATGCCTGGCTTGGTCAAGCTATGTCAAGTTGAAGTAGGTGTCTGAGTGCTTAGTTACAGAATCCACTTGTCGTCCTTAAGGTCAGTATACTGTAGAATACCGCAAACGCTGGCTGTCCAAGTGTTATCAGGCCCATGTATTAGTGACATGAGGGGGTGGCCCCTGCCTCTGATGGCCCTCGTATGGTCGTTGTCGTCGTCCTCGTCGTCGTCATCGTAGCAGTAGTCGCTGCAGTTGTCGGGATTGTAGGGATTGTAGGGTTTAGGGTTTCGGGTTTAGGATTCGGAGAGGAGCCGGAACGGTAGGATCGCAAATGCTGTTCATGCTTTGGTGGCGATGTTGCGATTGATGACGATTCATGGTGCCGACAGTGGAACATTAGGACTTCAGGAAAACCCAAAATGACAACCAGGAATCGATGATATGGCTCTATTCACTCTCGTCTTCACAAGGCCCTGCCAACGCAAGCCCTTGCCATGCGAACCTTGCCAGGCAAAAGCCCCGCTGGTGCAATGCCTCACAAACTTCGCTGCTCGACCAGGAAGTGGTGTAACTTCGGAGTCATTTCACCACATCGCTGAGGTTCAACCCCTTATGCACTATTGCAGCATTCGTACTGATACTCAAAATGTCATGACGAGTTTTTGTGTTGCTTCTGCTGCTGCTGCTGCTCGAGCTATTGCTGTTGGAGTTTTTGGAGTTTTCGTGACTAACTCGCACCACTGACCACTAATAACTAGTATGCTTTGGCCGTATGTGTTGGGCTTATTGCTTCTACTTGTTGTCATGTAATGCCCTCCCGGGCCGGGCCCGGAAATCCCCTCGAGTTTGAGCAGCGGTTGCTTGTTTAAGTTTCTGCATCAGTGAGCCGATTCACGACGGAAAGGGTAGTGAGACTCGTCGCAACACAAAGTGTACGTGTTGGCATCATGCGACTTGGAGGACGGTCTTTGGCTTTCTGAACCGAGGCAATACATTTTGATGTTCAGTTTAGTGTTGCCTTCTCGGTGCCCGCCTCCAGGCAGTCTTCCGTGCAGTCTCCGAGGTGTCCATGGACTTCATGGCCAACGGTCTCCTCGCCCTCGGGGCCTCACCTGCCATGGTCCATGCGGTGGAGGAGCTCGAGCCAGCGCCCTGCCGTTTTTTTTCCTCCCCCAAGTATACAAACCAAGAGATTGACGGTGCTTTTTTTTGTCTTGGCTAAGTCTTCGCAGCTCGGTAAGTTTTTCGGTTTGCTCATGTCCGATGAGCTGTGCAGTCACCCTTTGGTTTTAAAGTCCGCACCCCTTGACCACTGCTCCGAGGCAATCGATGTCGTTGCGGCGATAAAGGGCGCAGTCTCTATCAACATTGGAACGCTGGATCCAACTTGGAGCCATGGCCCTTACAAGACTTTGGAATGTCGCACCCGATCTATACCCCTCCCAAACCACATTGCCTGCACAGCAGGGGGTCTAATTCCTGCCCGGACCTAGTTCTTCAATTCAAACGCTGCTTTAGCATCTGCGTTTCCTTGCCGTGAAATTGCTTTCTTGCAAGGATAGAGTCCTTCAAGTTTGCAGCAAGGCCGGTGCTGTCTGTGTAGCATGGATGTCAGCGGAACGTACTGCCGATGCTGGCGATTGCGAGGACTTGTAAGGCCAAGGGCGTGCCGTGGGTCCTGGACCCCGTGGCTGCAGGATTCACACCCCTCAGGCCGGCCGCGGTGCGGGGTTGGGGGAGTTGGGGGGGCGGGCCGAACGGCGTGAACGTGCGTGAACGTGAAGCTGATGCAGGACCACCACGGCCACGGAGCTCCTGGACATCGGAGGGTGCAGCCGCGACAAAAAGTTTATACGTTAGGTTCAGGGGTGTTTTTCTCGCTGAGAGGCTTCGACTGATTTCACCTATAGCAGTAGGCAGCGGCCTTGCAGCACAGGGTTTTTCGCAGACAACAGGTGTGTCGTCTCCAGCAGAACTCCACGGCTGTTTCTTGGCTTGTTTGGGAGGTGCTCGGTGCTTCGTGGCAACGCCTCGGAGATCCTAGCCGTCGCTGGTGCAGTCGGAGACACCAAGGGTGTGGACTCCTCGCAAGGCGGGTGGTCCTTCTCCAAGGCATCTGAGAGGTTCCGTCCTGCCAGCAGGCTCGGGTGCCGCTCTGAAGGCTGCCAAGAGCTTGGCGGCCAAGTACAACTGTGTCGCTTGGATGCCTCTGGCGTGAGGAAGCATGAGGAAGCACCCTGCAGGCTCCAGGCCTCCTCTTGCATCCATGAGGTCGTCTGCATCTCCGGTGCCGTTGACTTTGTGGCCGCTCAGACCGCCTGAAGTGCTTTCTTCACCCAGCTTCCTTCCCCTGAATCCAACAGAGGTCAATCCCACCGGACAAGTCTCGAGTTGCGAGCATGGGGTAGAGTGGCGTGTCTGCAATTCGCCAAGCTTCGGTTTGGGTTGGTGGCTTCGTTTCGGGCACAGTCATTCACCCGAAGGCTCAGAGCTTGGCAGGGTGGTTTGCGTTCACCTCTCTCCAGGTTTCCAGCCTTCATAAGTCGCGAGCGATTTGATGTATGTGTCATCAGGGCATGACACAGTTGCATATGACTGACACGACCCACCCGGCATGAACAGTCAGCTTCCAGCCGCGTGTGTACAGGATGCTGACGAAGATCACGGCCGCCGGCTGCCTCGAACCTTGGCATGCACTTGAAGTGCCGCCCGGAGCTGGAGTTACTGGTATGTTCATGCTGTCTTCCGGCAAGGTCTCTTCGATAATCGCAGCCTTTCTGGCGGCCAAGCCAAGCGCCCGAATCCGAGAAAGCCCTGTGTTCTGCGCTCTGATCAGCTCGCTGCCAGCATGCACTTCGCTTGAACACTTTAGAACTGATGGGACACGTCACGCCGAAGCCGCACTGGCCTCCTTCATCCTCCTTCCCAGTGTTTCCATGTGGCTAAGGGCTTTTCCGATGCGGAGGCAGCTCTGTACGCGCTGCCGGGCAGAAACGGAATGATTGACCTTGATGTTTCGGCACAGCCGGGCAAGTCTTGTGATCTTAGAGCCATTGCCACTGCGACACTCTCATTCGAGCGACAGCAGACCCAACAGTCTTCCACGAGAAGGCCTCTCCAGAGTTGGTTCTATGCACTTGTTTTTGTTTTCAGGTTCATCTACTTTGGCATTTGCTCAGAGGCTGCTTGCCTGCAAGAGCCAGAAGTGCCTGAAATGTGCGCGGAGTGCGCCTCTTGCGGCTGGTGGCTAGGGCCAGGGTCTGCCAAGGCAGCGAGTCAGACCAGCAAAGGGCCGGGTTCGCTCAGGCTGAACTTGCTCCCTGGCGGAAGAGAGAAGACTCAGAGCTCTTGTAGGGAGCTTTAGCGGGGCTCGTCTTCGCAGGCTTGACCAACTCTACAATTTTGACCTGGAGCAGTTGGGTGACGATGATTGAGGCGCTCTGGCGCCTCTGCCTCTGCCTCCGCAGGGAGAGGGGGCCAAGGGCCAAGACTTTAAGTCAGGTGTAAGGGGGTAGCTGGGTAGGCCCCAAGCGTTCTTGCCCCACTCTGCCTGCACGAGTGCCTCCTCAGGAGGAGAAGTCCAGGACTCCTGGTGGGCAAAGTGCCTGTTGATAGTGGACTCGTTCCTAGTTGATGACAAAAGTGACAAAACACAGGTCATGCGATGCTGAAATCCTGTTGTATTTCAGAAGGCGAGATCGAAACCCTGATTCGTGCCAGTCCTGATTTAAGCCCAGTGGTTGGATGGGCCCTGACGAAATCCGTTACTGGCTGAATAGCTTCGGTGTTGAGGTTGCTGTTTGCTTTTGGGCTCTGATCGTCCAAGGCCCATTCGACAGCCCAGCCTCTGGCCGCAGGGGTACAGCTTTCCAAGTAGCAGCACGTAAGTTCCACGTGGCACCACGCAGCAGCTTGAGGTGACGGATGTGCCAGATATGCCAAGGCCCAAGGCCATAGAAACAAGCTGTTGTGTGGCGGACCAGCTTTGCGTGACTAGAGCACTTCCGTGTGGCGGTGAGACAAGAGCCCATGGCATGGTCCATGGCCTCAGCGCACGTGCGGCCACGGCCTCACTGCATGCAAACCCGAAGTCACAACAGAGCTCTCCACGATGCAAAAACTCGTTCAGGCCACTCAAGAGATGCTGGTTTATAAGGCTAGAACAATTGTAGTTGCAGGGGGGAGCTTGCGCAAATGAGCAAACGGAAGTAGTAGACGGTTGGCCTAGCTTTGGCGTCGGAGATGCTCTGCAGCAGGAGTTCGGGACAGAAGTTTTGGGTAGGTTTGTGGGCATGCCCCTGCTGCAGCACGGACAAAAGTGGGCGGCTAAACGCATGTTCGTAGCCTGAAAAACCGTGATAGTCTTCATGTTTTCCGTGTCTGTCGTCCTCTGTCTTGCGCGGAGTTGGCAGCTCAGAGTTGGCGCCGGTTTAAGGCAGCACGGAGGCGTGTGGAGTGGGCCTACAAGGAGAAGTTTCTAGCAGCTAGCAGAAGGGTCAGCCTTTACTTGACCTCCGACCGCTCCTCCAAGTTGGAAATCTGACGACTGCTTACCAGAGATGCGCATCACCAAAGCAACTCGTTGCTGGCCTCGGAGCGTCGGTGAAAGTGCCTGCAACTCTGCTGGGCACTGCCGCAGCCTGTGCACCTCAGGCTGCTGTGCTAAATTCGTGGCAGGTTCCAGTTCTCACTACACTTTGAGCCACGGAGCGAACATGGAGGTCTTTGTCAAACAGGCAACCCGCCCAGAATGCTTTCACGGGCGTGAAACTTGGTGCACTGTATTTGGTGCAGGTGTGCTGGTTGCTTCGGGTCGGAGTCCGGACGGCAGGATCCAAGCGCTGAAAGCTCTGAGTCACTTCGTGTTCTTCGTTCAATCCTTCCTGGCGCAGGACGCTGCCTCTGACATGCCGATGGCTCCGACGCATCGGCACGGCTCCTGGAAGATGCAGCGTTGGGCTCTTGGGAGGGATGTTCTGGGCCCATAGCAGCTTCTCTGCAACGCACATGCCGTTCACAGCGGTATGCGCATGTCTCGAAGGCATTTCATGATTCGCAAAGCACGCTAGCGGCTTGGCTCTCGGTTTTTCTACAGCACAGGCTCTCACACCGTTGAAATTCCTGGCATCTCGTCCTCCATGCCGGCAGCTGAGTTTCCAGCCGATTGGCCAGCCGATTGGCATTCTGCGACAAGGTCATGCAAACCTGAACGCTGCGAGGTACCACGCCTCTGCAGACGATGTGGGAATCGGGCTCAGATTTGAACATGCGCTTGGACACCGAAGGCCACGCTGCAGTCACAGATTTCACAGAGAAATGACTCCGCTTTTTAACCACTCTACACCTTTCCTCGCTCTAAAGCGCGACGTGTGCGTGCCAAAGTGTGTGCTGACTGAGGGATGCAGATTCTCTGCCTCGCAGAGGCCGAGCAGCGCAGCTTAGGCGTTGCCGGACTCCCAGAGACGGAGCGCACTGCGCACTGCACCTGCTCCACCCTGCTCTCAGCATGTCAGGCCCAGAGTTGCATCGGGCCCTTCGAGTTGGATCCCATCACTCGGATGAGCCTGGAGCGGGCTCGGAGCGAAATGGACGAACGCAGAACGCCCTGCCGCGAGGAGAACATCGTTTCCTCCGGGGCGAGCCGCTTTCCCGCTGAGAGCTCATTGGATGTGCTGAGATCTGTGTCTCCCTCGATGGGCCTCGCAGAATTGCAGTCGTTACAAGAGTCTTGTTTCTCATAGCAGGCTTGGCTTCCTTGGATTCCTTGTATTCTAGTTGCCCGAGGTGCGACACTTCAGGGACCAGAACGATCCGCATCCGCCTGGGGCCAAGTTTGGAAAAGAGAGGGTGTCAGGAGACTACGTGACTGCATCGGCGAGGGCTTTCGATTCCTGTCTGAACATGCTATGGTGCGTGAAAGGTTTTGCTTAGTTGATTCCGCGCATATTTTCAGCTGCATCCCTAAGGCGCGATCTGCAGATCCATGTGACGCAGGACAACTGCATGGATGGCGCAAAGACCAGCCTCTCTGCCCTTTGAAGCGATCGGCGTCGTGAGGACCACGTGAAAGTCGTGCATCCCGGAGCCGAGAGAGGAAGCAACGAGGTGCCTCGGTTCGGAAGGGACAGAGACGAAGCGGCAGTGCCGAAGACCAGTGCCCTCTAGTCCGCTGGGGATGCATTTCTCTGGTGCTTCGGGGCGTGAGTGCACTTTGGCAGCAGGTCATGGCACCTTATTCTGCCGACTTTCCCAAGGCTGCGGAGGGCAGTGAGCAGACAGCGGATCAAGGGCGGGTCCGTTCAGGTGATCATCCACCCAACCGACACCTGCAAGTTCCGGCTGGAGCTCAGCGAAGAGCAGGCCGAGACTCCGAAGACAAAGGCGTGGTTTCGCACTGAGCAGAGCCAGGACAAAGTCTTCCACTTCGTGGCCTTGTCCAGGCTAGGCGGGCGAAATCGAGCTGTGTCAATGCAAGGACTAGCTCGATAAGGAACCAGCACCGACCAACCACCATTCGCTCCTGTAACTGTTAAGCTAAACAGCGGGAGACAGACTCCTGCGTAATCCTCGGAAGCAGAGCAGCGCAAGGACGTCTCGGGATCTGATCGCGCTGCTCATCAGAACGTTTCATGCCGGACCCATAAAGCGAATGCTGTACCAGGTGCCACAAGACATTCCACAGCTTTCAGATTCACGAAAGAATATGAAACACTATTTCAAAATCAGGACGCCCGACAAGTGGAAGCTCGCAGTTCCACCTTCCGAACTTACCTACGCGGCTTTTAGACCCGACTTACGTGTTCCTTGCTATGCTCAGGCTCGCCAGTATGTGGCGACGTCCTTCGTGCTGAGTAGGCAGCGGAACTGAGGTCTTCATGACTTGATCAGTGGCTGTGGCTTGCCAAAGTGCTAGGTCCAGGTGGCTTCTAGGTTTACAGCCATCTCTCCCTGATGCTGGCCCAGGCTTTATCAAGATCCAGCACGGCCGGGAGCTGGATCCCCAAGTTCCGCATAGGCCCCCGTCACGATTGTGTTTTAGGAGAGTTAGTGAAGTGCGGGGTTGGAACATGTGATTCCGAGTGCCTAGTTTTTTTACTGCTGGGTTCTGAACAACGTCGGCCAAGGCTCCGTTGACAACGGCACTCTTGCAGGCGCGATTGATGAGCACAGCGCCGTAGCCGCTGCAGCCACGCAGCCGTGCATCCAAAAGGCAGTCGCCTGGCACACAGGACTTCGACCTGCAGCGGCTTGGGGACCGGCTCGGGAAGGATCGGGATGCACGACAAATCAGCAACAGTCACGGTAGAGCGAGGCGGGTCGTGCCAGAAGCCTTCTCAAACACCGGTACCTGGACCACCGCTTGCGTCCTCAGGAGCTGGACCGAACTGTCGGGCAGCTGGAAGCAGTCGAGCTGCGCTGGGCACGCTTAAGATATCTTTAGATGCTTAAGCTGAATTGAATTCCCATGTGCGGGTTTCGTGACGGAATGAGAAACATGGGTATTTGTTGCATCACAGCCCAACCTGTGTGGCTTTTGGGCCAGGAGGGTGGTCCGCACCTCTAACAACGAGAAGAGGGAGCTGCAGGCATTTCGAATTGTCTCACCCGAGGCCCCCGGAGCTCAGCATGTCAGATGTCTGCAGGCTCAGCTGTCCGAGACCATCGGAAGCTACACGGAGGCAGCAGTCCAAATTCCAGCAAAGCGGTTAGGTGAACTCCGGTTTTGACCTGAGAGGCTATCGAGCAACTCCACCAGCAGCTGGCGCCGGCTGCCAAGGCATCAGGATCGTGGCGCTACACTTGGCGACATGGCCTGGTAGATGCCTGGACGCCCACTCATCAGGGTGGAATGGTAGCTGCTCTGCAGCTTCAGATCCACGACGGCCGCGTCTGGAACACAGAAGCTGTGCCGTTTGCTTCCTGTCGCGATTCGGTAAGCGCCGATCTTGCGACCCGCTTGAAACACTTGGGAGTGAGCTGTGGAACTCCCAGGCCTTGCACAGCAAGCTACAGCTGGAACTCCAGGAGCTGAGGTGCAGAAGCTGCCTTCTGTCCAGATTCTGCAAACATGCATCGTCATGGCACTAGGTCAGCTTGAGATTTCCGAACTTTGGAAGATGTCGGGAGGCAGCGGCTAGATGAAGAGCAGCGAGCAACAGGCTTTGCAGGGACTTCTGGTCCTTCGGACAACGTTGCAGTCGCACCGGGATTTGGACTGCGATGCGCACTAGGATGCGCACCGCATGAGAACGGAGGCCCCTATGGCAGCGACGGCCCGGCTGCGCAGATGCGGGCCACTGCCCCGAGAATGCCGAAGAAGCGCTGCTTGCCATGCTTGTGCCGCCAAGGCACGGACTGTGGAGACCTATCGGGCTGAGATCGCGAAGCTGCGGGCACAAATCAGCCGCAGCCCCAGGTGGCAGAGCGCACGCGGCTGGATGCTTCGCTCTGGCGTATTGATGGCTTGAGAGTCCCATCCCTTGCAGCAGGTGCACTCGCAGGGAGCGAGAAGCAGCACTCCGAGCGGGACTGCCTGAGTTGCATCATCAGTCGCGAACCTTCGCGTCAGCAGCATGTCGGGTCCCCCAGCCTCGAGTCGGGCAGGACTCCACGCGGGCCGAGGAGCTCCGAAGGTTGCGCGGCGACGCTTTGCCCTCGGCATCCCTCGGCAAAAAAAGCCTTTCGCCAGGCACGTCTCCTATTCCTGTTTGTGAGGTCGACAGCCTCAGCCGCGAAAAAGAGGGCCTGGAACGCATGGTCGCAGAGGCAAATGTCAGTTCCTTTCGGAAGTCTTAACAGAATCTGAGGCGCATGCTGGGTCAGTTTATTGTGTGCTTGGCAGTAGGTAAGGCGGGGGTGGGGGTGGCTTGAGACAGGGTGGCAAGTCCAAAGACGAGCTGATCGAGAATTTCTTGTATGCCAAGGCCATGAGAGGGTCCATGGGCTCACTTGCAGTGGAGAGTCGCTGCATTTTCAGGGCTGCCTCGACAAGCTGCAGATTGCCTCCATCACCTCGCCGGCCTGCTCTCCAGAACACGAGCGGCAGGCCTTTCGGAGCCAAAACGTGAGTGCTGCAATGTTGGCTGCGCGGGAAACCTGTGCCAGCTTATCCTTTCAAGTGCTCAGAAAGGTGGCGCAACTGCGGGAGACATACAACCAGGCAGGTTGTGGCCCACGATGGCCCACGGACTGGCTCGCTTTCTGAAGGTCTCCGCTACGGTGTTGGGTTCTGTCTGGACGCTCCACAACACGTTCGTAGAAAGGTTTGATTCGCTTGGAGGTGGTGGATGAACGAAACCGGCTGATGGTCCGGGTCGAGGTTGGCAGTTTGTTGCAAAGTTGGAAAGATCCGCGCGGAAAAGCCGTTCCTACGCTTTCGGTCGATGTTCCGCTGCTGGTGTCTACTCAAGTCGACTCCTGGGAGACTCCGGGTTGCAAGGCTCTGGACAAAGACCGGGAGAAGCAGAAGCAGTTTCGGGAGCCGGCTTCTCAGAGGCCGAGCGTAGCGTAGAGACACCCTGGCTTGGCCCAGGTCCACCCTTGAGAAGGCGACGCAGGCGAACGCCAGGCCGGGCCGAGAGCCGAGGGCCGAGGGCCGAGGGCCGAGGGCCGAGAGCCGGCTCTGGGCCGAGAGGGCTGAGTGCAGGTTGCTGGAAGAGCGGGACAAGCTGGAGAAGGCCGCGAGGTGTCAGGCCGCGCCATCTGAGACACGCGATGTCGCCAGGAGAAGGCACGAGTTTCGACTCTCTACCAGCAGACCATGGCCATGCTCGCCCATTCTGCTGCAAATGCGGATTACGAGGCCTCCGCGTGTGATGTCTTCATGGCTACACGCCATCAAACACAGAATAGAGAGCATGGCATGTCGCGCTCGAGCACAGGAAGCAATAAAATCGTTCCCTGCCAGGAAGAGGACGAAGCCGTGCTCCAGGCGCATCTAGACTCGCCTCGTGAGAGAGAGGGCGAGAGAGAGAGTGAGAGAGAGAGAGAGATAGAGAGATAGAGATAGTGTAGCTGTTGCCCGACTGCCTCCAAAGCCCCAAATATTGCGGGGCCCAATGGGCCGGGGGGATTGACACTCCCCTTACACCCGAAGGAAGAAGATAGAGATAGACACAGAGATGGAGAGATGGCGCATCAGTGAGTCGCGGAGGTTGAGCTTGAGGGTTGACTATGATTATTTTCTGTAGTAAATCTGCTCGCGATTGATGAAGTCATATGAAGTCCATGCCGATGCACTTGAGGGCCCCGATGCTACGGATATCATGCAAGGCTTTGCGAGAAGAGGTGGCGAAGAAGCGCGAGCTCCTTCAGAAGAAGGCAGTGAAAGGGCCGTAGATGGTGTCGGGTGCAACGAGCGCAATTCTAGCCTCATTATCGGAGGAGCAAGAAGGGGAGTCGCTGCGCCAGCGTCTCAAGAAGCTCGCAATGGTCGGCTGGCCAATTTGTGGGATTCCGCAGCTTCTGCGTTCATTCCTACGTCTTCAATTCCTTGACTTCTCATCGACGGAGTTTGCCTCGGCTGTCCGAAGAGCCCCCGGCAGGTGTAGATGCCTTCAGCCCTGAAGGCACCTGGGATTGTCGGCCGCTGAAGGGAGTCTAGCAGTATCCACAAGACGCTTGTCAGAATCCGCAGGCCGCTCCCGTTCAAAGTGACGGGTCCTAGCTTCCAGAGTCAAGATGCTGAGCTCGAGCCCAGGGCCTGAAAGCTGAAAATCGTATCTGCCACTTTCAGATCGCTTTCAAACCCAAGGGCGTAGCCTAGGGGGTCTCCGTAGGAGCCAGAAGCAGACATGATGCATAGGCAGGAAAAGGGGCCGGGCCACCTGCCCTTCGTCATTGAGCTGCATGAACCAGTGAACGGTGATGTGCAACCTGTGTATGATGTAGCGTAGGTTCGCCCTCAGAGCAACTTTTCTCAGACCACAAATCCTTTAACATGAATCCTACACCCCCCTTGCATCGCATTAAGTCGCCGCGCAATCGGACTCCCAATCCGTTTGGGGTCTTCTCAGACTTCGGATTCACTCGGGGCTCGGCTGCGGTGCCACTGACACGATGCTCTTTTATAAGCTTCCGGATCAGTCGAAAAGGCGACTTCCTCATTCACCCCGTTCTCTGCCTGATCATCTTCACCTTCTTCGTCATCAAGACGGCTTATCGTCACTGTCATGGTCCTACTCATACTCATCCTTGGATTGTCCTCGAAAACACGTATCGTACACTCCTTTTACTCGTGTCAGATTGCGAAAAATGCACCAGTTTTCGCAGCAGATCGCATGAACATGAACCGAGTCGACGGGTGAGGCCTTGAGAGCGGGCCGTGAGGCGGGGCACGCTTTGCGACGTTGCAAAACGGTCCACATTCTGTGCCCTCAAACGCAGATGCGCAACGCGAAGCACCAAGATGGGCTGTTCACTGTAACCCTAACCCAGCAACGCTTTCGAGACAAGGAGCCATGGCGAGCTCAGCAGCTTCTGGGTCTAATCGCTGTTCCAAGTCTCTGCTCCATGGGTTCCAGCGCTGCGGCAGCTTAGCATGAAGGGCCAGGTTTCTTTTGTTTTTTTTTTTGACTTTTTGCCACTTCAGAACCCTTTTCAGCTTAACGACGGCAGCTCTCGACATTTTGCGATGTAGACTCTGCCACTGCCACTGTCTCACAGTGCATGTGACCAAAGGTGAGGTATTGCGGGCCTGCTCTTTTCTCGGCGCGAAGACTTGCGTTGAACTTCGGGGAGTTTTCATCCATTCCCATAGCCGCGAAACTGTCTCGGGCTCGCAGCCTGAAGAGACGTACCGTGGATCCGCCTGCGAGATCCGCAGGCACGAAGGGCATGAGCTTCTACCGACCATCCCTTGAAGAAGCCTTTGTATGCGTTTACTGACTGCCAGCCCGAGCTTACACGTTTGCCTGCCGAAGACATACGTGTTAGTTACTTTTAGCATCAGGTCTGGCTGTCCCTATGCCACCACCGCCAGCAGGGTCCTCAAAACCGCATGGGCGCAGCTGATCACGTGCAAGTCTGCTGGCCTTGTCGGTTACGTTTAGCACTATTCTGTTTCGGACTTCATGCAATGCTCGAGGTAGGAGAAGCATCAGCATTTACAGTCCTCCTCAACTGTCAGTCGCCTGAAGACCTCCGAGACATGCACGTTTCGTGGATTTTGATATGCATGCTTGTGCCAAATTGCAAGGAAGGAAAAGCAGGGCCGGAGGAGGGGGGAGGGCTCCTAAAGGCTTTGCCAAAGAATTTCATTCCAGTCTAAGGAGGAAAAGTCGGGACCCAAGCCCTAACGACGACGTGAAGAAGAAGGGCGGGCCGAGGTCCATGACGATGACACGACGCGAAGACAAATAAGGTCGCCGAAATCGACCATAAGACTTTCACAATACTTGATGCAAGTCAAAACTGCATAGATGTTGCTATGAACAAATGTACGTATGCATGTGTATATTTCTTTATATATATATAATATACATACACATATATATATATATATATGGATGGTCGCCCCCCCTTGACAGACCATGCCCTTTAATCAGGCATGATCTGTTAACGGATGGGTGACAACCACCTCTTCTAAATTCAATTTCGAAATTTCAATCTTTCGAAATTTCCTCTCCCACTTGCTTTACAGAATTTCAACAAGTTCCAAAATTTCCAAAATTGATCCCCTAAATTACGAAATCTCCAAAAAATCCAATAATTCCTGAATGTCCAAATGCTCCCTAATGTTAAGGACCGACTCTGCCAAATAGGGTCTAGATTTTGGGAAATTTTGGAATTTTTGTTGGAAATTTTGGAAACTTTGGAATTTAGGGGTTGTAATTGTTGAATTTTTAGAATTCTTGGAAATTTCGATATTTATCAAATTTCTTTCATTTCTTGAATTTTGTAAACTTATTTGCAATTTTTGGAAATCTCTACATCTTCATGCAGAGCTCCTAAACCTAATCTTAGTCTTCGTGTTACTCACTCAGAGTCTTGACTCAGCCTTGTTCTTACCTCTAATCTTAGTACCACTCAGTATAAATTGGTGTCAGTAAATGTGTGAGTGTTAGTACCAGTGTCAATGTCAGTGTTAGTAAAAAAAGTATTTGTATTAGTATAAGTCTTAATGTTGCTTTTAATATCAGTTCTAAAATTCGCAGAAGCACTAGTATTAGCATTTTTTGTTTTAGTGTTCATATGTTAGTATACTAATAGACTCGTATATTAACAGGTTAATATACCAATACATTCATATATTAAGTGTAATAGTATATCTGTATACTTTTATACCAGTAAATTAATGTCTTAGTTTATTGGTGCATGAGTATGTTAGCATATTATTGGTATATTAATATAGCAGTATATTCGCATATTCATATAGAATATTGGTATCCTAGTATATGTGTAGGCGACTATATTCGTATATTGATCTTACAATGAATAAGTATCAATATGTTGGTATAGCAGCATATGAATATACCAGCGTACTTGTTTATTGCCGTGTTGCTATATTAGTATATTAGCATAGTAGTATACTCGTATATCATACATCAGTAGTATATGAACATTTTGGCATAAAGGTATGTGAAAAATACTAACATGAATGCGTTGATATGTTTGGACTTTTTATTACAGAGGTATGTACATTTATATACATTGGTATATGCAGGTATACATTTCAATATCAATATGAGTATGATTATTGGTATTCGTAGGAGTATTGATGTTAATACTAGTATTCGTATTGTCATATTCGTATCAGCCTTAATGCAAATGTTAATAGTCGTATTTATACTAGTATTTACTTGAGTATTCAACAACTGTCAATGTCAGTATTGGCATTGGTAATAGTGTGTCATGAACAGCCATGAGAGTATGCGTATTAGTATTTGTAGGAGTATTGATATGTATATTAATATTGATCTTAATATAAATATTGGCATTAGTATTAATACCAGTATTAGCATTAATTAATATTCATATTATTCTGTTGTTTTGTATTCGCAGGAATTTGTGTATTAGTATTACCCTTGAGTTTCGTATTAGTATTAGTAGTAGCATAAATATTGATATGAATATTAGTGCCAGTATCATACATACTCCTGTTTTTATGCATGCATGCGTGCGAGCTCGAACGTTATCATTGCCAATCTTTTTGCAGACTAGGATGTCAAGTGGCAGGACTCTGGCTGACAGTTTTCTTTTGAAGAAGCTCTTGGCAACACTAGTTTTTTTGCCCCTTAGTCTTCTTTCCAATGCCCAATCAGCATGCCTTCCTCTGGTAACGGTTTGGCGGGGCCCTGTGCTCCGAGTACTACTATGCCTCGCAGGGGGGCCTGCGCTCCTTGAGCGGAACAGAGCTGACCATGCCCTTCAAGGCGCAGGGCATGGGATGCTTTATGGCATCGGATGGCATCGGTCTGAACGATCTTTCAATGCGTGTCTGTGTGCGCAGATCGAGAACATTCCCGACTCTCTCAAGGAGGATCTTCCTTCGAGTATCAAATCATTACCGAAGGTTAGGGCAGGGAGTGTTCCTATGCACCTTGTGTAAATGTCCTTGCCAAGCCTGCTGCCGATAATACTCGCATATTCCGGAGCCAAGAAGCGGTGTAAGGCTGTGCTGGCTAATTGCGAAAGCTGTCATCGGCGTGACAACCACTTGAACCTGTCTTAAACCTGCTTCAGGAGACACAGGACCACCTTTCAAGAAGTATGCATTTCTTCAACAAGGCGCTTCGACTTGCGTAGGTGAGTACCCGAAAGAGTAGAGCGTCTCAGCGAAGCTTTGTCGCAGCTATAGTCCGTGCTACAGAAGCTTAAGAGACCCTCGGAATAAATAAAAATGAAGCTTGAGGTCATGCGACGGGATTCGGTCAAGACGGATTGTGGCATCGCTGTCGTAGACCGTCCTCAGCTCCTGCTTGGGCCAGGTCAACAAAGAGTTCCAGAAGTTGCAGGTGACCCACCGGTGTAGAGATTAAATGGTTGCAGAGTGTCAACAACTGGTTTTGATGCACGACTTGCATGCTTTGGTTGCGATGATCTTATACAAAGATCACCTGTGGTCATGGATCCGTCAGGAGCAACTACTACAAGTCACTCAGGAGCGTGATGCGCTTCGCCTGCGACCCAAATGAAACCCTGCAGTGCTGTCCCTTCCATGCCTTCCGAGCCTTCCGGGCCTTGCTGAGGGCAGCAGAACACCACCCTCCAGCAGCAGCTCAAGCAGCTCGAGCGGACCCTCGGCTCGGAGAGTCGTAGTGACTCAAACGTCCCGGTGTGACCCATGTCCCCTTGCTGAGGGCCAGTAGCGAACAGATGGCGGTCAAGCCGGTCGTTCTGAGCCTGGGCCCCGGACACTGTGGTGTCCAACCCATACGAGGAGAGCGTTCTGAGGGAACAGTCCACTGCGCCGAGCGTAAAAAGCCTTCGATACTACAGGAGCATCCACTTTCTAGTGTGAGTTCGGAATCGGCTCAGAAGCGGGTTGATATTCGCAGTGCTTGACCCTATGTATCCTTGTGGAGTCGCGTAGGGCCTTGCGCGGCTTTCTCTCTTTCTCTCTCGCTCTCTGTCTACCTGTCTGCCTGTCTGAATGTCTGCCTGGCTGGCTGGCCGGCCTGGCCGGCTGTCTGTCTCTCTCGCTCCCTCTCTCGATCTCTCTCGTCTTTTCCAGCGCTTCGTGTAAGTCGAGAGGGAGAGGTTTGCCGTGTTCTCGCTCAGCGCTCCCCGGGTTTCAGCTGAGGCCAGCCGACCGTTCTTCCAGGCATCGCGTCCGCCGTTGACCAGTGATTGATTGTGCCACTCCGATACACTTCAATGCATAGACCCCTGGCAGAAATGTCTGCAGAAGGAGCCCGCAAAGTGTGACATAAGACAGGATGGGTTTGCCCGCAAAGTAATTTCTTGCTAAGCAGGCATGGGGACCGCCCCAGGACCTTCAACGTAGGCTTAGATGGAGAGGAACTTCGCGCGTGGTTGTCGTCCTATGCGTGAATTGTGCGGTAAATTAGAACCCCGCATTGCTCGCAGCACCGACTGGGGCGCCGGCGAAGCCATCCATGGCCTTGGAAAGGCAGAGCACCTGCAACCAATCTGAGGAGCTTGTGGGATGAAGCCTTCAGGGTGTCTGAGTTTTGGATGCTCGTGTCGCGAATGTTCCTTCTGTTCACCTCGGGTTGGGATTTTCATCCACCATCTGGTGACTGGTGTGGAGCCTGCAGACAAGTGTGCACAGCGAGACATCTAGTAACTTGGGCAGTCTTCCACGGCAAGCGCACAGTCCAGACTTTTCCGGCATCTTCGGTCTAGGACTCCGAGCATCGTGGAAGCAGTGAGATTAGATTTACCAACCTTGCATGGGACTGCTTTTCAAGACGTTTTGAAGACTCCTGATCTGATGCTGAGCAACGGCAAGCTGCCAGGGGCGAGCGATTCGTTATGGACAGGCTATGGGTGCGTTGGCACAGAGATTCTGTGCTGGAAGCGAGAGCTTCATAACACGTCTGTCTTTTGCGCCCCTCCGTGTAGTTTGCATCGCGGCCTCGGTTTTCGACCTGTTCAGGCATCACTCCAACCTTCACAAGGCTCCAGTCCACAGTGTGGCGATGAGTCTGACGCCCGGAGAAGGGTTTGTGTGGTGGTTTCTAGGCAGCAGAAGTCATCCATAGCTGTGGCCTAGGCGAGGACTCAACGAAGGTTGTGACGGCATCCTGGGATGCCACGGTCCATGTCTTCGACCTCAACAAGCAAGCCCTCGACAAGACTGTACTGGGTTGCCGAAATTTTAATCTGAATTCTTTGCAGTCCTGGTGCTGCAGGCTCAGACCGTAGTGACGTAGTGTGGAGAGAGATTGTTGTTGCAAAAGGAGACAGCGCCGTAGTAGTCGTCAGCGCTTGTCTGCTTTGCCACGCGTGAGGACTTTGCGCAAACAGAATGAGCTGGCCTCAGGGGGTGGGGGCTGTTTCTTTATGAGCCGACTGAATGCGACATCCACGGTCGGTGCTTTGACTGAAAACCTCGACTTGCACTAAGAGCGAACCCATGGGGGGCCTCTACTCCGTGGCTTTTGCGAAGACGGTGCGGACCGAAACTGCTGGTGATCGTTCAGGAGTTGCTTTTTTGAGCTATCCTTGGACAGTGATGGATTACGGCGGGTTGTGTCCACAGCCAAGCGGCTCCATGAAAACAGATTCAAAGAGATGATGAATTGGGCAGTGTTTGCCAGGCGCCGGACATCTTGGGTTGTACGTCCGTGGACAAGCTCCGTTCTCAAGTGTCTTCCGCATCCGCTCGGAGGAGTAGCAACATGTGTCAATGTATCTGTCGTTCCACTTTCCGAGGCATGTCTATTTGTGGAACTACCAGACAGGCCGCTCATCTCATTGTAGGCTCAAGCCCCGCTCCTTCCGGTGGCACGGTATGAAGCATCTGTAAGCACCTTGAGTCACAATATCAGTCTTTGCCACGTCTTCCAGCGTCTATGTGCGAGGATCCGGCAAGAAGGATTCTGCACGACGGCACTTGCTTGGAGACATGCATGCACTCTCAACACATTTGGCAGGCACGCAGCAGTTCAAGCTGGGCGGTGAGAAGGGGCACCAGGCTCGCAGGGACTTCAACAAGAGCCGCGGAAGCAGGATGTAGTCGACGACATAGAATCTGCTGTAGTGGCGGGGTCAGTGGCTCCAAGTCCGGCTCTGTGCGCTGCCTGAGCAGCTCTTCGCCATAGTAGCGGTCGCTTGCGGCCCTGCAGGACGAGGTCAATGGAATCGACTTCCACGAGGGTCAGCAGGCTGGCCCGCAACAGGGCACATATTCTGGCTTGGTGCAGTCGGAAGTAGGGTTGCGCTGTCCAATCTTGGGGAACAGACGAAGCGTACGCAGACATTGCTCGTAGACCCACATTTTCGCAGAGTGGTCAGAAGACTTTCGATTGATCAAGCCAGACATCTGGGGTTCCCGGTTTCAGGTCCCAGGCTAAAAGCTCATCCGTCACTTGCGGGCGTTTTTGTTGACTCGGAGGTAGTCGCGACGCTTTGCGCTGGATCGAAGCACGGTTTGGCATGAATAGCATCTGTAAGTCGGATCAGCAGTGCTTAATTGCAGGGTCTTCAGCGTCGACCTGTTCGAATGTCGGGGTGTTGTCGAACATCATGAGGAGCACGCAGTCCGCAGCCCCTAGTTAGATTGCGGAGCAGTTGAAATCCAACCCTCGGTAGCCGGTTATGGGTATCCCGGTACGGACTATCTTCGATCACAGGGTCTGTGAACCTTGGACGCAGGTCATGGCCACCGCATCAGACGACTTCAGCGCTCCTTGGCCCTTGCTGTTCCGGTTCTTTCTTGCTTCCTAGGCGTAACTTCCAACTATTGCGAATCGGCACCGCGCACGTCTTTTGCTCGCCATGACTTCGTGCAGAACTCAGACTTGAAACGCAACGAAGGCGATAATCTGGGATTTCGCAGAGGGGATCCCGCTGAGAACGTCCTGGGGCTCAGATGGCAAAGAAGGCAAAGCTCATACTTATCAGTTTGCAGCGACACGAGAGTTGCTTTGTCGTTTACGGGTGCGGATTCGAAGGAATGCCTCCGACTGCCGAGGCTCCCGCATCCAGGTAAGCCTGTTTATGGCGTGACTTTCCTTGGAAAGGACCGACCGGCGTGGCCGGATTGGTTTGTATGTCCCGTTCTATCTCTCTCGCCATCTCTTTCAGCGTGAGCCAGAGTCAAGCCGCCACTGTACTCGTACTAATCCCTTTGCTTGTGTGACTCACTGGCACTGGTCAGTGTGTAGGGAAGGCAGGTCTGGAAGCCTTTGCGGCATGCTCAAGTTAAGGGCTTCCTAGACACCACCTGAGACATGTCACGTGCCGTCGTATCGGCTTAGCGAGAGAATACAGAATACCTTCTGGAGTGCACGATTTTGTGTCAGCTACGGTGACGGAAGTGAGAGCCTCACGTTGCAAGCGAAGTAGATATCAGCTTGTTGGCTTTGGGAGGATCCGGAAAGGCAGTACTTCGTTTCGACGTGCTGCTTTGATCAGACTCGGCCTCGGTGGCAGCGCAGAGTTGGTTTTCAGAGCAGTTTCCTCTGCAAATTTTGACGTTCCCAAGGAAAACGCGAGTTTTTGACATGCGCGACAAGAAGGCATGCATGGCGCAATAAAGTGCAGTGGCGTGCACCGGCTTTCTTGCAAGGTTTACAGTGCCTTACGGCCTTAAGGCATGTTTTTTGTCGCCGGTTTTCGCAGGCCTCCCTTTTGCAACTTGGGCAACACATCGTAGTGGCAAAGCAAAACAGTGCATCTAGTGCCAGAATGCGAGAAGATTTCGAATGTGGGAGCCTCCGCTCCATCGAAGTTGATTATTCCTACGGAAATCTCAGCCTCTCCAGTTGCGGACCCCTTGCCTGACGGCGGCTCCCACAGAACACAATGGCAGGTTGTCGTCACCCTGGGCGGCCACACAGATGACATCATTGGCCTCCAGCTTGGATGCTTCCCTTCTTCCCCTAGACGTGCAGCTTCTGGAAGCTCTCTCCACAGGCATCGACTACTCTAGCCACGGGCCGGCTGCTCAAATCAAGGGCACTAGCGAATCCGTGCAGGCGTTTGACACAAGAACAGAGAAGGGTCTTCGACTTGCCTCCCCGCGCACTAGTTTTACATCGGCGCCGTGTTCACTTATAATTCCTCGGCAAAGCAGATGATGTCATGCCCAAGCGGCACATGAGGCCAAATGTCTGTATGATTTTTTAGGCACCCTTCCATCACCATAAAACGCAAACCATTAGTACATTTCCAAATTGCGCTGGCGATCCTGCTGTATGGCTCGGACTCGCAGATGTATCTCCAATCGCACCTCACAAAGCTAAACAAATTACATCGTAAGGTCCTAAGACAAATTTTCAGCATCAAAAGCTCCTGCTTCCATAAAGTTTTGGAACCCTCGGATGCAGGTTGTTCCAACGAATATCTTTCCCAATTAGCATATGAGTACACTCCCAAGCTTTGAGCCCCATCGCAGCAGATCGTTGCTTCTCGAATATCATATTTAGACCACATTCTTCGAAACGCCGATTCTCTTGAGCACATATCTACATTTCAGACAGCACACGCATATCGTAAAGTACATAAGAGGCGCCCCCGCCATCCGCGAATACATTGGGCCGAGCTCACGATCAGAGGCAAAACATTTTGGCCAGTAACGTCCTTATACCAAAGGCCCACCAAATACACCACGACATAAACGGCACCACCATCCTGCGGAGCGAGGGTGGCGACAACACATTCCAAATACTTTGGTAACACAAAGCTGTGGAGGACCCGACAGCCACTAGCTCAAAAAAAGAAAGTTTGGGCTTATTTAGAGGTCTGACGTTGAACAGCTGAAAGGGCTGCTGACGAGAAGTCTCACTTGTGGACTTGCTTTGCGCGTCTGAGAGAAAAGGCAGAGAGAGAGAGAGAGAGAGCCCTTTGACTGTGTTGAAGAAGAGAGAGAGAGAGGGAGAGAGAAAATAAAGAGAAAGAGAAAGCCAATCCGTGCAAAACGGCCGGACAAGTATCAACATTTGCCCGTGCAGCTCCTTCAAGTGCAGCTGCGCGTCTCTGCTGCATGTTCTGAGGATCTTGGCCACAGGGTCGGACGATGGGCTTCTGGCCTCAGATGTGCTGGTCGTTTCTTTGCGAGATGCCATGCAGCTTCCAGGGTCGCGCCTGCAGGGCGGAATGGCCCAGATGGCCTTGAAGACTTCCTGGACTGAGCCCAGGACCATCCTAGTCTACGACATCAAGACCTGGAAGGTGCTTCACAAGCTCGACTGCAAGGCGCGACCTTGGGCCACATGTGGTGACTCCTGCTCGGCCAGTGCCTCCACTCACAAGGTTTACACAGTTGTTTCCAACAGTGGTAAGTGTGCAGGGCAGGAACATGCCCGTCTACGAAATGTAATCAGGAAGCTGTCTTCTTTGTCCTGTTAGGGGACGGTGTTCTCCGATTGATTTGCTCATGGGTGTTGATTCTATGCTGGCGCAGATCAGGTCGACATGTCGGCAGAGACCGAGGCACGTTGCGTGTCTTCCACAGTCAAGATCTAGGATTCGCCAAGACCAAGCCCCAAGCCGCAGCGCAGCGCGGATTTACCTCGGTTTGGAGCAATTGAAGAGGGGATTTGCTTCGCATGTATCAGCTTAGCAGCTTGTCAGTTGAGGGAACATGCGACCAACTCTCCTGAGTGGCCAGAGAAGTCTCATGCTCATGCTCGTGGCTCGACTAATTTCTCGGGCGCACGGAGCTGCAATGTCACAATTTATTCTCAATTGCTCTTCAGAATTAGTCGAGAAGTGCGCGAAGCTGGAATCGACTTCAAAATCATACAAGGCTTGTGACGGTAAGATGCGACAGGTGAAGCGTGTTGGGTTTAGTCGCGAGCTCAGACGCAATATCAGGTACAAGAAGAAGCGCCCAGTCTGCCCAGCCACGGGATGCGGGAAAGCTGCGCATATGTCGAGGTAGAGATGGCGACATGCTGGCTGCGGCATGTTCGACAGGGTCGGCACGCGGAATTTGAGCTGCTCTGTCTCCCTCTCGCTCTCGCTGTCGCTGTCTCTGTCTCTATCCGTCTCTCTCTCTCTCTGTCTGTCTC